AAAAGCAACAAAGCACGCTGCTGCAAGGTTATAAATTTGAGAATACCGAATAAGGTTAAAAAGAACACGCAAAATCACTGTAAATAGCCTGGCGCTTTATTTCAACATATATATAACTATATAACTGTACAGCAAAAACCGAAGAAAATCTTCTCTTGAAAAACTGTTCAAACGAATCGCTAATGATCTGCTCACCACTTCATCGGCATATCTACACACAAGAAAATAAATGAATGAAATTTTTAAAAAATGTTTAAAAACACATTAGTAGAATTTGACAACATCTTTTTTCAGCATATTCTGAACACACATGTTTGGTTACTAGAGATAAGAAACGGATCTGAAGCAAGATATATCAGTATAGAAAGATAGATATATCATCTATTCTCAACACCTTTCGCAAATTTGTGMATTGTGGTAACAGCGTCTATCATTGTGTTACTACAACCTCCCTTCCCTTAACTAGAAAAAATCGCGCGCTTTAAAGGTTGTAAATTTGATGTAAATATGGTGTAAGTGTTTAAAAATTCTGTAAATTTGATGTAAATGATTTCCATTTATAAATTTACAGAATTTTGGACACTTACATCATACTTTACATCAAATTTACAACCTTTAAAGCGCGCGATTTTTCCAGTGAATTTTGCAATGTTATTTGTAAGTGATGATCATGAATTGCTAAGAAATCGACAACGATGAGAGGATGTTCCATTTATTTTACAAAAGATTGTAAATTGACTTTTAGTGATCTCTTTACGCCGTGTTAGCCTCAAAACTATGTAATAAATTCTTTCATTCACTAACAGTCCGTGCAAATGCAAGAGATCCGTGAATAGAGAGGACAATGGAAATAGTTTGAAATTTCACGAGTTTTATTAAAATTTCTAAATATTATTTGTGYACACAATTGAGGCTAGCACAGCGTCGAATAGATCGCCGAAACTCAACTATATTCACCGAAAAATTGATCTTATGATTAATAATGTTAGACTCTCTCCCTATTTAACTATGGATTTGTCGTATGCGCCTATTCTAAACATATAGGTGAGTGCAAAGCGATATCATAAAACAAGTAGATATGGTGTATAGAAGACAATATCGGTGTCGAAAAGTAGACTGTAACTGTACCCTCATTAGTCAAGAAYTAGACCACGAGGTTGAATGTAGTACTAATTGATGGTCGAGACCGAAGTTTTCTAATTGTATCCATTATGCATCAAAAGTATAGGGYAAATAAAAGACCGTAAAGAACAGTTTTTTCGACTTTTTTTTTCATCATTCGATGCTTCCGTATATCATTAATAGACTGCAGTTCAGTAAAAAAAATTTGACTGGAATTATAATTTGAACTCTATATAACTTACATGTCTCCCTACTTGGTCATAAACCTATATCGATCATTGGGAAACTCTTACTACTAAGTGCCGAACAAGTATAGCTGAATACGCTTTGTCTTATTTACCTTTTCAGCATCGTCCACAGGACTTTACACAATACTCAAGCACTAGGGGATATTCATCATTGCAAAGACCAATTGAAGCATAGTGTCTGCAAATATCATATTTATCTACGCAACGAGGACCTGAAAAAGGATAAAATGACTGTTGAAGATAGATTTATTAGTTCTGAGGGGAGTATAATTATTATGTACACACCAAATTGTTTACAACTTT